TAAGTATTTCTGCACAAAAGCACTCACCTAACAAAAGGAAAGTGTCATTTTTTTTGGAGCAATAGTATAATAAATTAGATATGAATTTATTTAATTTACAAATGTGCGTTGTTTTTAAAATTATAATATTTTATTCATTCAATACAAATAAAAATATAGTAAAAATTATACGTATACTAATTCCAAAATACATAATAGTTCAGGATTTATATTTATAGTTCAATATATAGGTTTGTTATTATGTCTTAATATTTATCGTTAATATTTAAGTACGTTGGTAATTAGAGATACAAATAACATGTTTTTTTTTGTTATTCATATTATTTTTCAGTAACCATGTATACTAGAAAAATATATTATATGATCAAAATTTATGAGTATATATTGCATTGGCTAATTCTTTATATTAATATTTAATACATTATTGTGGTATAACTAGAATATTACGATAAATATGTGAGTTCAATTTCTTGTTATATACTTGTTGCCTATAATAACAAATACTTCGTTATTTATACTTATTATAAGTTGCAATAATGTTATCAACTTTTTATCCTTTTCTTTTTACTATTTATATATATATCATTACTATTGTTTTTATTTTAAAAAATTTAATTCAAATTTATTACAATCCATAATGTAAAATGTGTATAAAGGTTTTGTTTACATAATTGTAATAATATTTTTAATTAAAATAAGTATTGTTATAACAATTATTTATTTTATACATAATGTAAAGCATTATATATTTTAAATTTTATTAATTTAATTATAATCATTAAAGATAATAATAATAAATTGCATATTAATATATAAATAATTTTTTTTATAACGATTTAATTTTCTACATATAATTTGTGCATTCAATTATACCTTATTGTCTAATTTGGCATAGCTGATGACATATAATTTTCATGAATTTTTTTTTTTCTGATGTCTAAATTCTACTGTTTATGGTATATATATATGAAATAGTTGGCTCATAAATACTTATTTTTTTATATTTTATATGAATATCCGAATATATTAATTTTTGTTACATATATAATAATATACATCTGATTTATTATTTGTAAATCAAGGGAAAAAATTGAGTCATTGTATTAACCGTAGCATTATAACATGTGTGCAAAAACAACATAATATTGTTTTCATATATATATTATTTTTTTTGTTATTCATAGTTATTAATAATTTTAAATGATTTTACTTTGTTAATAATTATGTAATATTATAGCACTACAAATAGGAATATAATTATTATATTTCATATTTATATCTACTGGAAATTCTTATGGAAGAGGAACATTTATAGCTTTATTTTAAATGTTCTTCATTTTATAAGAGCTGAATTAATATTATATTAAAAAAAATAGTACACGATAAATGATATAAGCATATTAATTCCTCTTATATAATATATAAAAACTGTGGTTCTGTGTATAGAAAATGTTTCAACTAGAGGACATTCTATAATTAAATAAAAAATTATAAAAAACATATCAAGATGTCCTTTTATAGACCTTAAATATGGCAGAAATAGGGGGTTATAATTATACACAAAAGGTTTGGAGTTAAATAACGATCACAATTCCAGTATATTTCAGCGTTCTCATAAATTTGGGAAATAGGAAACTTTATGCATTATATAACTTTGAATATATATTAGAGGATTAGGCAATTCTATGTGTTAATAAAGTTCAAAATAAATAATATTGAATATGTTCATCTGAAAATTATAAAGTATATATATTTTGTATTTTATATAATGAAATATAATAATATAATTATAACACTATAGTAATATTTGGATTATCGTTTTAAAAACATATTGGTATTATATTGACTTTTTCATAACATTTTGTGTATGCTTTACTTTGAATTGTATACAAATTTCATTTTTACTAAATTCAGATATATTTAAATTAATATAGAAATATTTTAACTCTATAATCATTTATATTACTTAAATAGATTGATTTATATAACATTAAAACATAATTATAAGGATTTATAACCAATGTAATTTTACGGTTATGTGTATGTAGAAGAATATTCCCCGTATATAAACATTCAAATTCAGCGTTTTCTTCTATTTATTTGGTATAAAATATTGGTTCGTATTATGGATAATGTTGAAAGATAATTTATTGAGTTATTTTTAGAATATTTATTTCAAACTCTAGCTTTCATAAGATATAATAAACATATATTGAGTGTCAAAATGATAATTTAAGTAAAATATTAATGTATTAAATATAATTCTCAATATTTTTAAATGTGAAGATATTACAACTATTAGTATTTAGTGAACATTTATAGATTATATATTTCTTGTA